GCAATATTCAAAATATATACATACATATATATTGTTTGTTAACTACAAAGAGAGAGAGAGAGAGCAAATCCAGTTAAATAATATTAAGTGAACTTTAAAATTCAATGTGATACATATGTCTGTGGAATCACCATTTTACTGATAAAATACGCTTCTTATGCATTCCTTCGTAGACGTATGAAATACTTATTTAATCAATTCATTGCCACGATTGGAGGGACTCTGTTTTATTCACAGTGTAATACAGCGAACTAGACATTAACGTTGCCTCTTTATTTAATAATAATAATAATAATAATAATTTGGCGCTTACACATATGTATGTATGTTAGTGTTTGGTCGAGCTTATCCTCCGATTTGTGGCTTGCGCCTTGATGTTGTCCACGACCAAGTGGAGAGACCTACAGTTTTACGCCGACTCCGAATGGTGATTGTATTTTTATGTTAAGCTGTTTTTCATGGTAGAAATACAATCGGAGGTTTGCCATTGTCTGCCGAGGGGCGACCGCTGTTAGAAACGACTTTCTAATTTGAATTTTTTTCAGACCTGGGATCGAGCCTGGGATCGAGCCCAGGCCGTACGGAGTAGTGGTACGCATCTCTAACAACTCAGTCACAGTTTTCACTATAATACACGGGGTTTTATTATTTCCAAAACCAATGTTTTGTTTGTCTTAAATTTTTGTGGTTACCTTAAAAAAATGGAGCATAATAAGCACTGAGGAAAAGCATCAGGAGGCCAAGCGTACAGGTCTTTGGCAATCCTACAAAGACACACTCAAAGTCTTAGAGAAGGCCATAAAGAGGGCAAAACGCGAATTTTGGCAAAACTTCTGCAACAACATAGAAGAGAACTCTGAAGCCAACAGGCTGAGGAAAATTCTTTCGAAATCCTCTTCAAGTATGAACTCTATTCAGAAGCCTAACGGGGACTGGACTTCATCATGTAACGAAATGCTGGAGGTCCTTATGAGCACTCACTACCCGGGCTGCTCGGACGACAGGTCCTATGACCTACCTGTCTCTGGGAGATACCGTTAGGGACATCGTAAGTGATGAGAGGGTCGAATGGGCTTTAATGTCCTTTAAGCCCTACAAATCCCCGGGAATTGATGGAATCTTCCCCGCTCAACTACAGGAAGCTAAGGACATTCTGTGACCCCTGCCTTCTCAGATTGTTACAGCCTGCCTAACCATAAATCACATACCATACGAGTGGACAAAGGCGAAAGTTGTATTCCGACAAAGAGGAGGCAAGGCCGCTCATATGAAACCGAAGGATTTCAGGCCTATAAGCCTCACTTAATTCGACGGAATATTAAAATTGACATCCTCTTCTCGAATCAGCATGTATGCATAATGTGACCAACTATTTCATAGCTGAAAGAAGTACAGGTTAGGTTGGGTTAAGTTAACGCCGCGAGCCGATTACGAAATTTCGACTGCGGCTAATTTCGATCCCTGAGAGCTCAGTGAATGTCCAGAAGTGCGAGTCAAAATACTTCCATCTTAGCCTCGCGAAGGTTGGACAATCTAAAAGAAAGTGTGGAGATAATTCCACTTCATCTTCCTCATGACGACTGATACAAAAGGATCAGTTGAAATTTCTAGTCTCACCGCATGAATACCAAGTGCCCTATAAAAACATTTTCTGCAGCAGAGAAACATCATGTTGTCCTTTTTTATGTCACAAAAGTACCCGGTTTCCCTTAGCCTAATAACAGTTCGTTCTGTCGGCAATATCCGCAGGCGCCGTGTTCATATTATTATATTAAGCGCCAGTGTAGGTGTGGTTCCTAATGTTCCGCTAATTCCTGTTACAAGTGTAGCCTTCTCTAGTGATTTCCACCAGACTAGGGCTCCTTGAAACAATAGGGGCTTAAATCTTGTTTCCTAGAGCTAATTAAATAATTTTGGAGAGAGACCCCACCTTTTACCGATAGCTGCCCCACAGCAGTACAAGGCAATTCGTCTTGGCGCTACCAGTAGCTGGACTTTCGATTCGGTGCACAGTGGGAAACTATCGGTTGCTGTGGCGTAGTCGTTAGAAGAGCGCACTACCTTCCGCAGGGCCTAGGATCGATCCCTGTTTCCGACTATCATCAAAAAAGAAGGAAATGAAACAATTTTTTCTGATAGCAGTCGCCCTCGGCAGGCAATGACAAACCTCCGAGTGTATTTTCGCCATGAAAAAAAGTTTCTCATAAAAATACAATCGCCGTTCGGGGTCGGCGTAAAACTGAAGGTCCTCGCTTTTGAGAGACAATATCCAGGCCAAACAGTAACATATTGCGTAAGTGTTAAAAAATGCTGGAGGAAAGAGTTAATTTTAAACCGAAATGAATATCTTTTTTAATACTCGGAAAGGATTTTTAGAAAAGATTGTCTAGGTTGAAATCAAAAAAAAGGAGTTGTGGTTTTCGTTGCAGCAGTACGACTCAAACAAAATAAGTTAATGCATCAAAGGAATCTCTGGTAATTCAGATATTCCAGGCACATCGACGCGTCAAGTGCTTGTCATTTAGGTGACAGCACGAAATCTTGATCAACGACCTAGAGAGAACAAACAAATATCTTTACTTTGCGGCAGTCAGGTAGCTCTCAAAGCCTTACACCTTTCACATACATTTGTATGTATTTTTTAGATAGCTCAATCAAAGGAAAACTGTGGCTGAGTGGTTAGAGGTGGTGCGTATTGCCTTTCCGTTCGCTCCCTCTTCCTAGCAACATCTAAATTAGAGAAAGTTTTTCTAACAGCGAACGCCCCTTGGCAAGCCTCCCAAGTGTATTTGCTGCCTTGAAAAAGCTTCTCATCAAGCTATTTGCCGTTCGAAGTCGGCGTAAAATTGCAAGTGCCTCCAATTGTGTTATAACACTTAACAAAAGTGTAAGCCCCAAACTATTTCGATTATGTATGTATGCATATTTCTGTGTTCGTATGGAATAGTAGCTTATGTCGACGATTGCAAATCACGCACTGGCGCCGAGCGGTTGAAGAACTTTTGGCAAATATACATACATACAAGAAATAGTTCCGATACTATCAAGTCAATATTCTTATTAAGTCCCTTCAAAAAAATTCCTTGTATTTAGTTAAAAGATTAAAGGGAATGCCGCATTATACTAAAGCCAGCTTCGCGACATAAGCCATACGAACACAGATTTATTTTTGAGTATTAAATATGAGACAACGAAATCTCCCTGTATAAGATGTGTCCTCCGTTACGACATACATATATTCATCATTTAAGTTTTATTAAGATCTGATATTAAAGGATAGTTCTCAAGATTATCATGTGCGAGAAAAGCAAAACATTCTATGCAGTGCTGATTTCAGTATACGACGATAAAGAGTACGTCTTTCAACAACCATTAATTTTATAAACCACATCTCGTGTGTTTCGGGCGCTTCCTTCAATTTACAATGATTTTTTAGATACAAATCATGGTGAAATAAATATATTATTTTTCGCCATGGATACAAATTTTATTAAAAAACAGTTATGTATTTAAAATTTCAATACGCTCAGAATTTCAAA